CCATTAAACAGTGAGATTTTTTTCGTGCCAGCACTTACTGCGACACGGGACCTCGGTTTATACAGTCTTATTCGGTCTCCACGTCCCACAATCACTCTAAAAAAAGTTTTACTTGTTGTTTTTAAAATAAGATATTAGATTAAGAAAAACTAGTAATTATTAGTAATCCATTTAGTCAGAATAGCAAGTAAATGAAAATCATGGTTAGTAATTGTAAACATAATTAGTAATAAGGATAATTTTTACTTATAAAATGATTTACTAAGTATCAATAGAATTTCTTAAACTATAGGAATTATATTACTTAGTAAATGAACTACTCATTTTTGGTAAATTATTATTACTTGATTTAGAGATAATATGCTTTCTATTTACTAAATTTTATGAATTATTACTAAGTAAATGTAATTCTGAATTTAATTAAAATCTAGAAAATAAAATAATACTAAGTAAATGAAATACTTATCATATTTACTAAAATCGACACTATTTACTAGAAACACTGCAAGGTACCGACCCTCTGATAAGAGACATAGTTGTGAAAGTACAACATAACAGAGTTTCTTTATCAGAGTTCCCTAATTGAGCCCTCTGAGTAATTTACTAGAAGAAATCTACTTAAGATGGAAACAATTATACTTTCTATTTCTTTTACCAATTTCTTTGTAATTGTTTTATTATATTTAACAATAAAACATTCAATTCCAACATCAAAAGCCTTATAAATTGAATAAGCTGTATCTTTTTAAGGACCATTTTAAAAATGGTTTAATATTTCAAGTACTTAATACAGCATTTTATTAGTATGACTTTTTTTTTTACATGAAGGAATATTTAGAAGAAAGATAACTCCTCCTCACAGACAATTAATATGGAAGCCAAAATTCTATTTTACATTTCAAGAATTCAATCCCGATAGTGATTAGACTACCATATTTAAGTAATTACTGCTCTGAATTCTCCTTGATTTAGTAAATAAATTATTGTTTTAGGTAAATCAAATAAATACAATTTAAAGAAGATGTGTTTGTGAAACACCGATGCCCCCGTATGGCAACGTAGCAAAGGTTAAACTTTTCTTATTTGCAAATTTCATATATTGGTATTCCTTGATATCTCTAAGGTCAAGGTCAAAAGGTCAAGATTATTGGTATCTAATGAAAGGTCATGCCACAAAAAATACATATGTGAAATATGGAAACACTAGCCCCAACCCTTCAGAAGTTATGGTCAAGGTTACCAATTTTAAAATGTACGTCAAACTCCAAGGTCAAGGACAAAGGGTCAGATTTAGTGGTACCCAAAGAAAGGTCTTGTCACAAGGATTAAATATGTAAAGTATGGAAGCACTAGCTCTAACCCTTCAAAGGTTATGGTCAAGGTTTGCTTTTTAAAAGTGGGTCAAACTCCAAGGTTAAGGTAAAAGGGTCAAAGTTCTGTGTATCCAATGGATGGTCTTCTCACAGGAATTACATATATATAAGTATGAAAGCACTACCCCTTACCGTTTAAAAGTTATGGCCAAGGTTAAAGCTTTTCACAAGGATGAAAATCTCCAAGGTCAACGTCAAAAGGTCATAGTTGTTGGTATCCAATGAAAGTTCTTTCAGCAAAAAATATATATATGAAGTATAAATGTCCTGGTATTTACTGTTCAAAAGATTTGGCTAAAGAAAAAGTTTGGATTTTTTGTGTAAAAGTGAGTCAAACTCCAAGGTTAAGGTCAAATTTGGTGATAATCAAAGACAGGTCTTGTCACAAGAAATACACCTGTGAAATTTATATGAAGGTCATAGCTCCGCTAAATCAAAAGTTATGGGCAAGGTTAAAGTTTTTGCGGATAAACAGACAAACAGAGAGACAGCTAGACAGACAGAGAGACAGACAAACGGACACGACAAAAAATATATACCCCCGAAACTTCGTTTACGGGGGCATAGAAATATTAGTTATATTATAGTAAATAGTGGTAAAATGTAAGTAATGACCAAGTAATGTTATTACTTATATACAAAAAATTTAAGTAAATATAAATTACTAAGTAAAACTTTTTAGTGTGTAAGTAAAACAATTCTTTAAAATACAAAAATCAAGTAAAACATTTGAATTTAGTAATTGACATATATTTCAGTAATTGATTTAAAATTTTAAGTAAATGCTTAGTAATTCTCTATTACATATCATTGTTATTTCAAGTAAAAAATGACTACTAAGTAAAACTTTTTTAAGAGTGATGGACTTGAAACAGCGAAGTAAGGATCAACTTGTTACTCTGCGACTCTAGAGAAAACGCTCTAACCACTGCGCCATTTAAAAAAACTACTGATTTAAAGACATCAATTTACAATTAATATTTTGTATGACTACTTAAGGGATAATTGTTTGATATTTGCGATATTCTATACAGTATAGAGTATAGTATACTGCAATAAACAACAGTACATATAAATCATGAACCGATGACCACTTTCTCTGTCTGTCCGCTGACATTTTCTTTACCACTGAAAAAAATCCATCCCTGATTTTTTGTAGGGCATGGCCCTCCTTTTCCATTGTTTTTTTTTTGTTTTTTTTTTGTTTTTTTTTTTGTTGTTGTTTTTTTGCTTTGTTTTTGTTTTTTGTTAAATGTTTGTTTGTTTTTTTTTTTTTATCTGGTCGAATATGGAACTTGTTTGTCTCTTTCGCTCCTCATTGCTTATCTTGTTCAGCCTTTACTTAAGTTAGTATTCTACGTAGCCATTTTTTTGGAAGGTGTATGGTTTCTGGATGATGTTTTTTGTGACCTTCCAGGGCTCTGATCCATACAAGAGGACTCAAATAAGTTGACATTTGTTCTGATTGTTCTGAATACCCTTTTTTGGATTTGATTTGATAATTGAAGACTTTCAGAAGTTTCGCAGGTTGAAAAGTTGGCAAGGACATTTGATATTCTTGTTTGACATCCATGGTGAAATCTCATTTGGCTCTGCTGATCATATAAATTTGTCAACATCTACTTTGTTTGCTGTGTTTTCTTTTTTATTCCCACTGTTATATATTTTTTGGTTTTCATCTGCTCTACTGGGCTAGCTTTGCATTGGGTATCCTTTTGTCGCTGCGCTAGTAACGTGATACCTTCTGCAAGGTCAGATTTTTTTCTAGTAATATGTAAATTTATAAACCAAGATAAATAATTTCAATGATTGTCATAACAACCTACATGTAGGTACATGTACCACGGGACAAATTCTGAAATTGAAATTAATTTTTTTTTTTGCATGCCCTGTCTGATTCAGATGAAAAGTAAACAGAATGCTACTATACATTAAATTTACGTAAGTCGATGCTATCTATTTTTTATGGCCATCATTAAAAATATCGTAAAAGTCAAGCTTTATCAATATTTCGTAGCTTAACAAAGATGACATTGAAACACATTTTGAGTGGCAACGTTATCTTTTAATAACAGTGTACATTACACAGGATGCTAACGAGGTAATTTACAAGTTAATTATGGAAGCTGTAATTATGACTGTCTGAATTGTTTCAATCCCCTTTTTCCTCTACCCAGATAAGAACATCATTGAAAATTAGAATTTTGCTGAATGTTAGTCGACTTCAGTCATTCACAGTTCCGGCAATTTGTGTTTGTGTTCAAAATGATAAAATAATTATGCTGATGACTTTATAAAAAAAATAATCAAATTTTAAAGTCTACATCAGCAAAAATCAAAGGTCGTAAGAATGAAGATGCATCAAGGCCAATCATTTACATGTAGATCTTCAGTAATTCTGTTACTAGTATTTTGACATTGATTACTATACGTAATTCAATATTTGAGAAAGTTTTGTGAATGAAAAGAAATATGCTGATTCATGTATCTGTGATATGATTTTTTCAGTAAACGCACAGGCCTTTAGATCGCTTACAGAAAATTGAAGTATTTAAGAAATATACATCTTTTTTATGTACCAATTTTTTTTTAAAGTCGGATTAAAGCGATCCAAGGCCCAGTGGTACACCTTATATCAAACTAGCTCATTCTTTGATAAAATGCCAGATCAGTTCTTTTACGAAACGTTTACTCGAAATTTCTATCACTTGATCATAAAATATTCTCATATTTCTATGTTAGTAAGAACTTAAACCGTTAATTATTTAATTTCGATAAATATCAAAGATGGGGGACATCTCCTTAGGCTGATATTAAGGTATCCAGAGTGTAGCCTGATTTAATAATACCAAACACGCTATACCCAAGTTTCAAATATTGATAATTCCCCATACAAGGAAATAACAATTACAGATGCATTTACGAAGGTCTATGCCTGACCAATGCCCTGGATAGCATTGTCTCACCCCTCCATTAGCCCTCAACCAGGCGATGAATCTGTGTATTTACACAACAATTGAGAGCGGATCGTCATTTAAAGCTTACCGGGGATCGCACGGCTTATTGGGATGGATTTCTCTGAGTATTTGTGGGTTTGACTATGACTAATTGTCCTGTGTAAGAATGTTGAAGCATCTGTCCACTTTTCTTTTAGAATTTCACAATATAAAGTTATTTAAGGCTTATCAAGGGTCAACCTGTTGTAGAATGTTGTTTTGACTAAACTTCTAATTTTTGATTAAACTTTATAGAAATCAGGTATAAATTTCAAACATTTATGGGGATATAAATACAGATTTGTCACATGATCAAAATCTATAAACACCAATGGCAGTAGTTTTAGTTATGTATGTATAACCAATCGGTATTTATATCCTGATTTTTGTTTTAAATATAATTGTGTATTACTTATCTTTAAATTTGTCACTAATTTATAACAATTATTAGATAAATATTGTTTTAATCTCTTGAACAATAATTTTTTTTTTTGCAAACCTCAATGAATTTGTTGACCTGTGACAAAACTTTTTATACACATTGCTCAAAAAGTCTTATACCTTAAATTTATAAGGGAAAACATTTGCAGAAGTTTGTTTCCCTGACAAACTGAGTTATTAAAAGCACACAATATTCCTGAATATTTTATTGAACAAGAAAGAAAACAAGACTAGGATGGTGAAAACATTTCTACATATTATCATACAAAATTGTGCAAAAACATTTCTTCCAACATGAAGCATGCAAATAGAGATCTTCTTGCTTGGTACATTAAAAAAATAATAAAAACACACACACATTGCACAAACATTCTATTCCACAAAAAATTCAAACTTTTAATTGAAAATCATGCCTTTGGCTTATCTCATTTTCTCTACCTATTTAAAATGGAAGGCAAGTAAAACAGGCAATTAACCCATCTTTTCTACGGCCAATGTTTGCAAGGAAGCAATCCCATATATATACATAAATTATGTTCAAGTCAACGTCCAGTGTACAAATGGCGATCATTGGTCAGCTAAGATCATTCAACTCATCTTAACTTAATTACTTCTCTGTATAAGTTAATGAGGTACTTATTAAAGGCATAAAAGCATGGCCATTGGTTTACATGGTGCATGTCAATAACATACTAGATTTAACGCTAGATTAGAATTATATATGGCTCCATTTGCCATCCAATATCCTGTTTTCAGACCAGGTACATTGCATGCTCCCCACAGAAAATTGTCTCTTCCTCATGGCTTAACAGAACTGAATATCTTATATGAATTTACCTCATAATTGAAGAGAATGATGATATTCTATATGTAAAACCTGACAGAAACATAAAATTGTCTATCTACACACAAAATTTTCTACAAAATGAAGCTAATGTAGCTGCTTAATTGATGACAACATGACTAGGGTGTTGACTTTATAAATTTACTTAGTTATTGTAATAATTGGAAAAACGATGTCTTAAAAAGAAACAATTCTGTTGATATCAAATTAAATTTTTAAAAAAATCAAACTAGCATGAAAAATTTTGCATGGGATTTTTTGAATTTTTTAAAGCTAAAACGCAAGACAAAAAATAAAAGTATAAACCAAATTAAAAGTAAAAACATTCTCTATTTACAGTCTCTCAACTTAAGATTCTTTTTATCCTTATTATCATAATTAAACAATTGTCTTAAAGTTTCTATCTACGTAATGAAAACACAGAAAGTAAAAAGCATGTTAAAATGACAATGAAGGATGGCACAGAGGATGCAGCAAAGTTTCCCTGTGACTCAGATCGTACGACGTAGCGGATTTCTCGTCGGGGCTCGAATGAAAATGTACGATACACAAGCCTGTTGTTCACTGGTTGGACTGGACGGTAATTGTCCACAAGTTGTTCCTGTATAATTTCTATCGTGATTTCTTCAACATTTTCAGCTGGCTTACTTTGTGTCTCATTCTGGGTCTTGTACCCTTCGTCTTGCATCATTTTGGGGATGTGGATTTGCTAGAATTAAGAAAACATTCATTTAATGCAGTCTTCTTTAACACTCAGTACAATGTAATTCAGTCATGTTTTAAATAACACAGATTTTTTTGGAGTCTACATTAATCTGTCTTTTGATTTATTTTATAAGTAAATTGTGACAATATATTTCTCATAGTTGTCTGGTTTGAGGGTAAGGAAGCTAAAGGGAAGTAGATGCACAAAGATATAGCGTAGAATCTATATATATTTCTATAAGGTGAAAAACATGACAGACAGCTGGCATCAAATTAGAATTCTGATACCACCTTTCTAGTTTAATATCTTGAGGAGTGTATTAGTTCATAAGAACTATTTTTTATGGTATAAACCTAACTACCAGTGCAAAAAAAAAATTATAAGAGAATAATAAGAGAATATATAATAGAATTCAAATATTTCATAATTTTTGAAAATTGTATAAAAAAAGAATTGAGATTTGCTGATTTACACTAATTCAGTGGCTCTTACAACACCCGTATCCCCTCCCTCTCCCCACCCTCTCATATATAAGTACCCATTTATTTTTCACTTTATTGTACTTGTAGTTGTTTTCAAATTCTTACTTTTTTGTGGATGTTCTTCATATTTGGCATTTTATAATGGATGTAAAGAATACTTTGATGAGTAAATTACCTTCTTTTTCTGAAGAGCTTCAATCATTTTGAGTTCTTCCTTAACATCTCCAATGATGCCAGCCTCAGCCATAATGTTCTTGGCTGCCTGTCTGTCTGTACCAGAAACATCTCGCTTCTTCTTTTCTCCTTTCATCTTTCGATGTTGGAAAAGTTGACGGAATTCTGCCATCTGTAGGAAAGTTTAAACTTTATTGATTAAGTCATCAAATTTGAATGGGATCAAATAAGCCACTCATCTGAAAAACCTAGTCTTCATTTGTAATTTCTAGAAGACCATAAAAATCAGTCATGTGAAAATATTCAATCAAACATCTGATATTTATTCTTAAAGTGCAATTAATGTACTGCTATGAAAATCAGGCTTTTGTTCTGTTGGAAATCAGGAAAAAAAACTTATTGGGTTACCCACTTTTTTTGGTCTCTGTGAGATTAGTCTAATTATTACGCCTTGGGAAAATATATCTTGTATAACAAAAATGATGAACTGTTAAATGCTTTTCCATCCCTGCAATCTCTGCTGTTTTCAAAAGTGCAAATCCTAATTCTATTAACATTTTTTTTAATAAGGATGCTGTTCTCTAATTGACTCTCAGTTTCGTTGTTTTGTCTGAAAATTTTAATCTAGAAATTATTGGTCAGACAAATAATTTAGTCAGTCTTGTCAAAGAGTGCAAGAATCGGGAAAAATATTATATCATTTCGATAGATTATAAGTAGAATTTGATATTCTTAGATATATAAAAATTAAAAATACTCTGCTGTATCATTTGTCTTCTGACAAGTCATTGCCTTGCATAATTATATATAGACAGAATTCAAAATCTCAGTTTTTGCACTTTTTTCTAGAAAGAAAGAAAGATGTAGGAGTTTCAATATTAAAAATTATAAAATCTTGGTCAAATAATCCATTTCTTGAAAGGTCTTTGCCATGGGTACCAACAAATTAAAGTTATACAATTGTACTCAGAATGGTCTCATCTATTTCCTCAAAAGGAAATATTCTTGTGGAAATTTAAGTTGTACTGTTAGTGAAATGAAATAAAATCTGGATAAAAATTCTCAGTTTTTAATGGTTTTATAGGTACTCATACTATTATGCTTCAAAATTACCCCCAATTCAATTCTTTGCTTAAAGCTTAAGGTTAGTTTTTTTTTTTCTTTTTCTTTTGTGAAAGTTGAACTATAAGGCTGTCCAAACATAGTTCTTAGTTTTAATGTCAGCTGTGCATATAAATTACAAAATATTTGAACTTTGCAAAAAAAAAAGCTTAAAATTAATAATAATATATAAAAATAATATACCTGTCTAGCTGAGAGGGTGAGTTTGTCCTCAAATACTGTCCAGATGACACTCTCAAAACATCCGGGGGTGGTCAAGGAGCCATTGTACCTATAGAACTTAGAAGTGTCCTCAGGAAGAAAATTCTTGATTGCCTGAGCTTCAACCTTGACCTTTGCATGGTCCTCTGAAAAACAAGATATGCAGCATTTTAATTTCTCTGACATTGAATTTTGATTTTTTTTCCTAATTACTGTTTGTCCACTTTTTTCAGAATATTATCCAGATTTCATTATAATGTATCACAGATGATGTTGATTTGCTGCATAATATCTACATGCATGGATACAAATCAAGCTGCCAACCTAACTCCATAGTATTTCAGATATTTTGCTTGAATCTTTACCCTTAAACTTGTTTAAGTTATAAGCTCAATTGGCTTTCAAGCATTTTGTAAATTTATATCAAAATTAAAGTTTTTGTTTGGATTTTTCTTTTGTATTGAAAAATGGCTTTTCTTAAGAAAAGGAGGTTACCATTTGTATGCTATAAGACTATATATAATATGTGATCACACAAATGCTCATTTTTACCTGGATCTCGGATCACCTTCATTGCTTGTATGATTGGTTCTAAGGCTTCGTTATCTTTCTCTCCTATCTGTGTAAAAATAAAAAGATAATTATAAAATATTTCTCCTAATATTGTAAAACAGTTAACAGTTCTGAACAGAATATTTCTGTGAAATCCACTGGAAGCCATTTTACTGGAAATCGAGGCAAATAACAATAAATATATTAAAATCTCTGGTTCTAGAGAAAATACAACATTCAACCAACCGATATCTGATTTTATATATTAGAGATCTATAGCTGAATCCAGAACATCTTTCTCTTGAAAACCAGGATGTGTTAAAGTGAGTCATTTGTCTCTATCCCCTTTTTTATGTCCTTGTTATTTCAAATCATCTTCGTCCCATTTAAGTTTGAGACAATGGTGTATGATTACATGGCTGTGATGAAGATTGTAACTTACCCTGAAGAGTACTCCTAGTACAGCAAGGCCTCCAGCTTCTGTCATGGCTTGACCAATTGATGAATAGGTCACTGAGTCATAGTTTACTATGTGGAGCTGCAAAGATCAATTAATTAATTAATTTAATTTAATTAAGCTAATATTAGCTCATTTCAAGAGAAAAAGAATCAAACATGTAATATTTAGTCAATAGCTTAGGATTTTTGCAAAATAAGAATTTTTGTGTGGTTTGTAGGAGTTATCTTTCTTTTATAAAACTATAAGTTAAAATCATCTCACTTACTTCAAGTGGGAAGGAATGTCCATCTATCTGATGTTCAGATCCAAAGCCATCATCTGATCCCCAGTGGAAGTGGAACTGGGCAGTACTGTACACCGAGGACAATCCACCATTAGCTACATAGTATGGCCCAATAGTGTTGACTTGTACTGTAAAGAAAGCATTATCAGAAACTTTTATTTGTCTGCATAAGGGGGAAATATACTGTCTGCCCAATATCAGAAGAGATATAGATCAATCAACTGAATTCCTAAACAAGCTTATCTCAAGACCACATCTGGCATATGTGCTAATCAGATGTGATTTTTTGAATCATAAACTGTAAAACTTCATAACTGGGTTGATTGAATCAGACAAATTCAGTTCCATCAAAAGAACATTTACACATATGTAAAATTCCCACAATATAAGGCAAAGATAAAGACACACTTGGAGGACTTAAGCAAAGTTCTAATTATATAACTAACATGCATCTTTGAGGAAGAAGGTAGAAAATAAGAGCCTTTGCATTAATATGCCTATCTAAGTTCTCTCCCAGTAATCTTGATTCAATGTAACAAACCTGTATGTCCGTTATTAAGAACGTAGAACTCAGCTCCAGGAGCAGGTGGGTCATACCAGAAGATGAAGTTATTGATGTCCGGGTTGAAGATGGTCTTCTCCCTCTCAATGTTTATAGGGGACTGTTGGGACCCCAGACAGGAGTTATCAAACAAAATATGCCAGTTAGAGGGACCTGTTTGAAAATAATGGAAACTATAGATTAAAAATTATGTTTTTTTATCTTTGTATGGTTGACTCTTTTCACCTAATGATGTGCAATAGTTCATGGTTTAGACACAAGACAAATTTTCAATAATTGATATGGCATGTCATGAATTAATTGAACTATATATTTTTGGAGAAATATGATTTCTATAAGCAATTTCTTGTTAATAAGCCTGATTAAGCAGTCTATGCATCTTAATTTCTAGACATGCAATCACCTTTCTTCCCAGTGTATCCCCAGTGAATCTTTTTTGAGGGACCTGCAATGAAAATGAAAACAATAATATTATGCATTTCTCAAGAGAGTTTTGTATTCACTTATCTAACTGGTAAATTGCATAATCTGTGTTATCAGACTTGACAGGTCTGTTGTTAATGTCAGAAAATGATGTACCAGTAACACTACTTCTCTCTGTTTCTTAATTTACAATATTTGCTGTTTTGAGTTTCGAATGATGGTGTAATTTTCGAAGATGTACAATATTCTATTGAGTTAAACAGGTAGTAAAAATGTACATTGCACGTCAGTTTTGGTTGCTAAATTATCACATTGACGAAAAAGGAAAAAGCCAAAGTGACTGTTTCATTTTATGATTCAATAATTAAATAATAACTCAAACACAACCTTGTAGTCAATATTTGGTTTTAAAAGGTCAACTGAAATTGTAGCCAAATTGATGCAGACAGAGATACAAGATTTGATTGGATGATAAAAACAAATGTATATAACCAATCAATTTGGAACTGTTCATAATAATTATTTTGGTCCATTGTACGATAGAAAAAAAAAATTAGAAATGCAAAAAGGTCAGGTGCAAGTGAACACAACTTTTTAAATGTTTGATTTCAACCCATTTATAAGAGAGATAGGAATGTTGAAGTATTACGATAAATACATTTTAAGTTTTAATCAGACTCAGATAACAAATTGACTTGTCTGAAAACTAGTTTCCAGCCACTGCTAATTTCACTATGCTGTATGTTATACAACAGCCATTATTTATACCTTTTTTGGGCTCTATCTTGAATGAGGAGTACACCTTCCTGGTGTTGAGCGGCTGTACTGGGCGGTAATTATCGTACAGAGCCTCCTGTATGAAGGCTTTGGGGATGTCCTCCAGTTTCACCGCTTCGTCTTCACTCATATTGTGCGTCATTTGGTATTCCTGTAACAATAGATAGTAATTTTATAATTTTGAATACAGATAACTTAATGATATACTGTAGAAGCACAAATTTTCATGGGGATGAAATTTCGTTGATTTGTCACTAGTTTCGTGAGCATGTAATTCCGTTGTTTTAAAATACATAACACTATTCAATTCATAGTCATTTAGAAAATTTCTTTGATAATTGTTAACAATGAAATAAATGAAATTAAATCCTCCATGAATATTTTTGCTTTTACAGTATTTCTTTTAACCTTAATTATTTTGGGATCATAGGAGTTCCATCAAAATAAATGTGTTATTAAAAAAGCACAGTGACATGATCACCTCACAAGGTAGTAGGAGGGGAATTATCAGATAGAAATGCTCTTATTAGTTTGTGAGTGGGTGGCTGAGGTTGATGCAAATGGGAGTACAATGTAATAATTAATTTACTTCGGGACAAATATACTTTTTTGGCAGGGGGATAGCTCCAGTTTTAAGTGCCTTTGGTTGTTTCTGAATTTTTTTGTCTATCATCTTAATTTGAAATATTTTTGGAGCAATATAGTCA